TAAAATACTTTAATAAGCAAATAGACATTTTTAATTTATATTTATCTTTTATACTTATCTTTCTCAAAATATTTGAATTTTTCATGAACGGGCACACGTTTCATTACTAAATCACGAATTATAGAACAATATTTATCATTCAAAATGTTTATATATGTTACATAATTCGTTACTCACAATTAAACATTATGGGAAAATATATCCATACACGCGAAACTAGTGGAAAATGATTTGGAAAGCTATTGAGATTCATACTTTTCGCATCTCTCGCATCTTTCGCTTCTCGTCCTTCGCATATTGTAATATAGAAGATTATGCTCGTGAGCGAACGGAAAATTCAAAGCTAAACGTGCGAATATATAGTACGGCAACATTTAACAAACGAACCGAGCTATAATGAGGCACAAACATGTCGGACTTTACGCTTGACGTCTCGCATTCTATTGCATGGTTATCAAGACATCGAATTGAATCTTGAAATAAAAGCAGCGAGAGAACAGTTGGCGAGAATGAGAGAACGAAGGAGAGAACGAATGAGCAATTTATCTTTCCAGTTCGGTTGTTCAGAATCAGAAGAGGGTCTTTTTGATCATCAGAATCACAAGAGGAGTGCCCTGATAGATTTAACGCGATGAAAAACGCGTATAGAACCATCGCTATGGATTCTGTTCGTGGTCTTTGTTCTTATAATTCTACTGCGCTGATTGAGGATCACTTGAAACACGCTTGCCGAGCGTCTCACGAATCCCATTGAATGGGAAGAAGACTCGTGCTCGTTGTCTTTCTCTCTCACAAGGACAAAAACAATCGTATGAAACAGTAAGAACGTCAGAACTTGAAGACGAGAAGCACGCTATGGAACGCCGTCGTTTCCTGGGAAATGGCACGCAACCCCATTAAGAGCTCACGGAACTATCTAATTACATAAAATATGAGATCGTTGCCATCTTTTTTTATCCCAGCCAATTATTAATACATTTTCCTCTAATACATCTGACTTGAAGAATTGAGTGAAATAAAAAACTCGATGAAAATTACGCAACATTATCGTTTTCTGGAAAATGCCGTACAATCTCATTAAGATGTTACAGAATAACGTGATTATATGAAACACAATCTTGCTGCTTTAAGAGTTCGATGTTAGGTGACTTATTATTAAATAGTTTCCATCTGATGAATTTCAATTGGAAAATTGAGCTTTATAAAGATAATAAATCAAATCAAATAATAAATCAAATCATTTTTTTGCTTTCAAGCAAAAAAAGTCTCTTAACGTCAAATCATTTCTTTAAATTAAATAATAAGTAATTAAATTAAATAAGTAATTGTTAATCTCTCTAAAAATATAATCTTGTATTATTCAGAAAGCATGTTTGTTTGATTTGTATTACTAAAACGTATACATGGAATTTTCAGCTTAAATGTAATAAACATAATCCATTAAAGTAAATATTTACTTTTACAGATCGTTACTAATGTGATAAAACATCTCTCTCGTATCTCTACGATGCTTCTTATTATAAGATAAGTAAAAACAAATGCCAAATAAACCATTGCAACTTTTCATGCTGCTTTCATTATTTAAAAGTCGTGCTATATTTATTGTTTAAATATCGAAATACGATAAGAGATTTCGAATACTTGACTATTTCGATACAAAAGACTACCTGGAGATTGCAAATAAAGTATATCTGTATTGGAAAGTATTCGACGAGAATATCCCTTGTCCCATTTTCTTCTATTTTCACACTTCTGAAAACAACGGCGATGTTACCGACTCTTACTCGACGAGAATCCTACGGGGTATTTACTTAACGTTCGATACTGAGATGCACCATACTTATCACGCGGCACCAAAATGGAATGGTCAGGATAATGACAAAGGATACCTATATTGTAAATGAAGTCTTATTTGACGTGCACTCGTATTAAACTTGCACTCTATTATTACTTCTATTATTCGTACTCCCCTGTGGTTCTCGTTATACTGCAATAACAAGGGCTTTTTGCAGAGTAAACACTGATGTTGCGTCGAATTGTGTGTATAATGTGGAATAGCTAAATACGGTTAGAATACCGTAATCAAAATTAAATATAGTATGAAAAAGAAGAGAGAGAGAGAGGCAAATTGTTATAAATTATAATTTTTTATAGTCCTAAAATCATTGTTCTATATATTCTATTTTTTCATACGTATTATTTAAAGAGCCAAACCCAAGAAATATGTCATCGTGACTGTGCGCACTATTTTTTAATCAAATTTGAAGTGTATACTCTATATAATATATACAGCGGACTCTAATATATACAATATAGTATAGATATACATTTTTAAAATATATACGTATATATGATATATGTTAGGCAGGATGTAAATCCAAGGTAAAATACCACATAAAAGTTCGCATCAATAATCTCATATTGAATACGCGGAGGGTACTTCGTCCATCCTATTCAAAGTACGGGTATCACAAAAGTTCCCTATTATTTTCTCCGACAATCGTAAAAAGTCACGTTAAACGTCGCGTAAAACGCGGATCTAGGCAAACGGCATACAATTTGCTGGGACCATCTGCAGCTTGTGGTTGTACATCGGGATACACGCGGATTAGTCGGGAGAGGAGGGTAATTTATATCATCGTTGGTAGAACCGAAAGAGATCGAAAAAGAATGCGTTCGCTATTCTTGCCGCGCAGCATGGTGGAAGGCTGTTGGCGAAGAGATTTTTTTGCTTACCGAGATAAATGGTCGATTTGTCGAGCAACGTTACGTACAGCGACAGCAATGTTGTATATGACGCGCGAAGAAACGGCATTACGTAGTGCATAAGCGATTACGACGTCGTTGCAAAAATCGGATCGCATTTACATCAATCTCACTGACTTGACAACAGCAGGCGATGTTGATTTATTTCGTAGATGTAAAATCGTGTCACGTAGTGACACATGGCAAAAAGAAAAATTCTTATTTAAATTTAAAATAATGTGTGTGTGTGTGTGTGTGTGTGTGTGTGTGTGTGTGTGTGTTTATTTTTTGTCACTATTACAATTATTATTATGAGATCAAAAAGATAGGTTTATATTTCTTCTTCTTTGTAAATTTTGCAAGCTTTAAAATCTAATAAAATAATTTCTTTTCTAAATATCTTAATGATACCTGTCCAAAATCTGTCCAAAACATAAAAATTAAGGTTTAAAAATCAGAAAATGTTTAAAATGATATATTAATTTGCATATTATATTAAAATTAAGAGATGAAAAATTGTTATTGCTATTAATAAGCTTATTAATTCTACTGAAATGAAATGATAAAAATATATTTATTTTGTTCAAATAAATAATCTTTCTTTGATAATATTAATATACATTTGCATACTTAAGTTAAAACGCAAAAGTTCAAATATTTACAATGCACAAGATTAAATGTAATTTAGTAAAAATAATAAGCAGATCATATAAAACATTCAAACGTTCTTATGAAAAGCATATTATTTCTCTAAATCTGATTAAATATTATCAATAATTAAGAGAACTTTGTCATAATTTAAAATTATAATAATACATCAAAATCAATTATTTCTTGTAGCTTGTTTGATCAATACTATTCGATATTAAATTTAATATCAAATCAATATGTTATACAATATGTTAACATTTATATGTCATTATGTTAACATTTAGATCAATGCGACACATACAATGCGAATTAAATCGTTTTAAGCCAGGTCGCTAAAATCACTGTCACAGAGATCAAGATTTAATGAGTGCTTGGATATTCATGTTTTTAAATATAACATTCATCACAAAATGTGTTATTTTATTATAACAAATACAGATTATAAAAATTCGCATGACGCGCATAATGTGACATAAAGTTTAAACATTATAAAAGGATCACCTGGTTATTAAACTTTGTGAAATATCATGCAATATCCATGATTTATGATAACAGCACTATTATTTAATGAAAGTCATGTTATATGTTCGAAATTTATATATTTCATTGTTCCGACGAAAGAATTCAAGACGGCGGAAATTCCCATTCAATCTTGAAAACGTGTCGGGAATATATCTATCGAAATGCATTTCCCGCGTATAAAGTGTTATAAAATACTTGGTATTACTTATGGCATTCCCATATCGGACGCCCCTCGGTCGGAAAATTCATGTTCAAATTTATTCCACCTGTCTATACGAAAATTATGAAAAGTTTCGAGAAACTCTAGTTCCGATAAACTCTAGTTCCGAGAAACTCTAGTTCCGATTATTTTTAGTTCTTGCGTCTGAATTACTAAATGTTTGAAGAAAAAACAAGGCTGCACTTTCTTTAAAATTATAAATAAATAGAAATAAAGGATGCAAAAGAAGAAAGTATCAAAATACGAAAAGAATTTAGTTTTAGGTTATTCTAGTTGCAAATTGAGTGTCGATTAAAGAGTTAACAAAAATTTTTAAGATCTTTTTCCTTTATCAAAAATAGATATGTACTAAATAAACAAAAAATTAAAGTCGGAACCTTCTAAAATTTCCTTTCTTTTGATTCAAACACTTACATATTAAATTTCCAAAAGTTCGAAGATATAAAGGTCAGAAATTTACTAGGATTTTGCTAAAATCCTTTCTGAAATTTTTTTGTAAAGGCTTGCAGAAATGTTACATTTGCGCACAAGAAGAAAAATTTTATAAGAAGAAAAATTTTAAGAATTTTCGTTAACTCTTTAATTGACACTCAATTTACAACTAATATAACGTAAAACTAAATTCTAAAGTAAAAAAAATCTAGTTGACTAACACACACACGATCACAAAAAAGCGTCTTAATTTTCACTAAAGATCCTTTTAAATTTTCTCTTTTATACCAATAAGAAACTTACGTGCCAAATTCCAGAAGCAAACTTCTTAAAAATTTACTCAAAAGAGTTGATGGAAAAGTTTGCGAAGATAAGTCATTCTCGGCAATTTTCAACTTTTACTAATCAAGTTTGTTTCTTTTCTCGACAGGCGATGTGATAGACATTCTGACACTCATAAACTCGGCCATCAATTTCATCCTGTACTGCACCATGAGCCGACAGTTTCGCACAACTTTCAATCAGTTGTTCTGCAACCGATGGCGATTGATCGGCAGGTGGATGGCGGTGCCGCATCAACCGATGGAGAACAACGGGCACACCGGGACCAATCACACAGTGACCCAAGTCACCCAGGTCTAGCGTCGAAGAAATCGACGGACCTTTTGCTATCCGGTGTAAAGAGCTCGCTGATTAGCTTCCTTTTAGACACGTGTACTGCAAGCCCGCGAATAGAAAGAGGGTTTTCTGATTCTCCGTCCGCCAGCATGGCGGTAAGCAAAGAGAGGTGAAATTTATTTGCTCGCTACCGCCACCAGTCTTAATTGCGTCGTCGTAGCCAACTTTACAACGCCCGGGGCATCTTCAAGCCCGTTCCGCTGCCCCGGACATACGACACACCAAATGTGTAACAAATATTTGCTTCAGTTAGTTGGCGAATCGTTATGTTTTTCCAACATGTGTTTTATTTCGATATTTTGCATGTTACTTTGTTACATTACAATCAGTCAGCGACTGCCATCAAATTGACGATACGCACAACGGTTATACTTAATAACAAATGTTGTGATATGTGCAGACACTTATAAGTCGTCATTAGTCATTTAAATGCCTAATCGTACCTTTATACTCAAGATAGCTTCATTTAGAAAATTATCAATTTTCCAGTGGTAATATAAATAATTATAAAATTTGCATAAAAGAAAATAAATATATCAACAAATAATGTTTCTTATTTAAAAACACACACTTATTATAAATTTTTAATTTTAACAAAACCTGCAAAGACTAGAATATTATTCCGCAATAAGGCTACAGTGTACCATCCTTAATGTTATGTATATTTTAGAAAAAGTTTTAAAGTTTATATATAAAGATTACCATGGAATATAAAAATATTCCATAATCAACACATTATATTCATGATAAAAAGATATAAGAAAATTTTTTTACATTATTTCCAATTTCCATTAATTCAATGTGCGCTCTAATATCTATTTATGCTGTTAAAATAATCATTTTATATTTTTATTCATTGCAAATTCTGTTGATTTCTACTTTGGAAATTAGCATTAATAATTACATTGATCTTATATAGTAAACACAGCAACATTTTATTTATATTTTATATTATAATCAACATTAAAGATGATAAAAAACTAAATTAATTACGCTGTGTCAAATAAATTTAATAACACAGCCTAGTTGAAACATAAGAAACGTGCTTATTAAATTAAACTTAAATTGTTCAAAATTTGCAGGCAGAGATCATTACGATGCATCGCGAAGGCTGCAGTGCAGCATAATTTTCTACAGGAAATAGAACATAACTAACTAACTTAACTACGTCGTAAACAGTTAACCAAAGGCGTCATGCTTCTTCAGAAAATGCAACAGTAGCGAAATCTTTAAATAGTAGAATCTCTTAGTTATGTAGATTAGTGTTAGCGTTTGAATAGTTATCTATTTTGTTATTAAAGATTTGAAAAATCTTTTTTACATGACAGTTTTAAAAAATATTATTAATATATTT